CGAGCAGGCGCCCGTCAGCGGGTCACAGCTGCTGAACAGCATGTTGGGATCCGTGTTCCCGCTGCAGTCACACGGCTGGCACGAGCTGCCGATCACCAGGGGGTTGCCAAAGTATCCCGGGGCACACCTGGGGAAACACAAGTCACAACACAGTGAGGATCCTGCAGCCTGGAGTTGCACAACTGGAACGGCGTGAGCATCCAGCACTTGTAACTGCTGCAGCCCTCAGGGATCTCAAAGCACTCTGTGTTTTGCCTCAGCGTACCTCAGAAAGGTGCCTGCATCACAGGATGCAAGTCAAGGCAAAGCACACCTAAGTCATACACCCACAGTAACAGAATTTCAGCAGTCGGACATTTGCAGGCTAAGAGGACTGAAGGAAATGCTGCCAAAACAAAGCAGCTGCTTCTCCTGCAGTCCTTAAGGAAAAAGCTGCTCTGCCCCAGCAGTGGCTGCACAGGGTTAGTGAGCCCCCACAAACACGGGTGCCACCCCCTTACCGCTCACAGTTTGGTCCAGCGTAGCCTGGCTTGCAGAGGCACTGCATGTTGGATCCCTTGTGGACACAGCCAACAGCAAAACTGAAATGAGAATGGGGACACAGGGAGGAGCAGTTACTCCTGATGTGGTGCCAGGGGAGCTGGTCACTCACTGTGGGCTGCTGGGGCCTCAAGTAAGAGGCCATGAACATGGTTTGGGGACAAGGACAAGGCTGGCACTGGGACACCTGCCCTGGTGGGGCACAGTGAGGCCAAACAGGCAATGCCATCCTGGGGTGCTTACTTGTTGGAGGCAACTGAAAGAGGGCATGGGCATCCAACACACTGCAGGGGCTCCTGGGCTGAGGGGCTGCCCATGTAGCCGTCCTTGCATCGCTCACAGTGGTCTCCTTCTGTGTTGTGCTGGCAGTTCTGCAAGGAAAAGGCAAACCCCGGGTTCAGCACTGACAACAAGAATGGTGGATGCACTAAAAACTCCCCATCAGGATTCCTCAATCCTTCCTCTCTCCCAGAGCTGCCCTGCACCCTAAGCTGACCCTGAGCAGGGTCAACACTGAAGCAGTGAAGCCAGTGCTCTGACTCTGACTCAAGCATCATTCTGCCAGCCCACTTAGTAAATAAAAAGGTTTTGAATCACATGCTACAGACCTCCTAACTCCAAAATATCACACTGCTCCACTGTTTACTTACAAGGCATATCCCAGAGCCTGGCAGGCACTGATCTGAGTGGCCATTGCAATGGCAGGGGATGCATTTTCCCAGGAAGAGCCCCTTGGTGTCCCTGTAGTAACCTGGAGCACATTCCTGAGGAGACAGAAAATGGCAGAGATCCGAAAAATAGCCTGAGACTTTTGGGAAAAGCAAAGAAACGAAGTTAGTTTCCATGACAGAATTCCCACTGGGTTGTACTGATGGAGAAAAGATTATAAGCACAGATGAAGATTTTTCAGTGCAGCTCCTTCCTGCTCCTTTTAACCAGGAGAGAATTGGCCAGAGAGAAGGGCCTATTCCAAGGTACTGCATGATTTCCCCATCATGCCCCTTCCAAGAAGGCAGATGAAACTTTTGCATATCTCACAAGTGAACGGTGTTGTGATGGGGAAATGTTCCTTCCTTTGGAACAAGCCGAGCTGTCACTTCAACTGAAGCCCTCAAGAGCCAGCTTGGAGGCAGCTGGCACCCAAAACATGACACTCTGACCTCTCTGACTGGAACAGCCTGTCCACTCCCCCTCACCTGGCAGGAGTCCCCCTGGTAGTTGGCTGGGCACAGGCACAGCTCCACGTTGCTGGCACGGATGCCCGTGGCTGTGTCTGTGGCCATCTCCAGCACCACACGGCGCAGGGACACGGAGGAAGAGAGCTGGGAGAACAGTGCCCGGATCTGCAGCTGCTCCAGGTTTGCCAGCACCATCATCAGCTCCTCTCTGGACACAGGGTTGTGAGTCTCTGTGTGCCTGAAGTTACCCTGGGGGGAGAAAACCTGGCATTACTGGCAGGAAGCACAAGCATCTGAACGTGCAGCCCAGCCTCCATATCCCTGCTGCTGGAATCACTCCCTTTGCATGGGTGAAAGAGCCCGGCAGCACCTAAAATTCTGAGTTCCAAGCACCTGTCCCTCCATCTGCATGAGGTCTTGTATTGTATTTGCTGGGTTCTCCAGATGAGGGAAGGAATGATGAATCTGACTCCATGTTCTTAGAAGGCTAATTTATTATTTTATGATACTATATTATATTAAAGAATGCTATACTAAACTGTACTAAAGAATACAGAAAGGGTACTTACAGAAGGCTAAAAAGATAATAATGAAAACTTGTGACTCTTTCCAGAGCCTCGACACAGCCTGACCTTGACTGGCCAATAAGTCAAAACAATTCACTTGAAACCAGTGAAACAACCACCTGTTGGATAAACAATCTCCAACCACATTCCACATGTGAGCACATCACAGGAGAAGCAAATGAGATTAGAATTTGTTTTCCTTTTTCTCTGAGGCTTCTCAGCTTCCCAAGAGAAAAGGGAGATGGCAAAGGGATTTTTCAGAAAATATGAGTGTGACAGTCTTGTCCTTTACTGCATTATCTGAGCACTTCACCTGTGTGTGCAAACTCACCTCCACCAGCTGTAGCTGGCCTTGATGTGCCTCCCCTGGGGATGGGTAGGCACCTTCCAGAAACATGATGCTCATCTGATTTCCCTGGGAAAAGCAAGGAAGGTGTCAGACATCACCTCACCCTGCTCCTGGCATTAGCAGGGGGCACCAGGGCGTTTCTTGGGCTGCACCTTGAGGATCACATCAGGCCGGGACTCCATGGGAATGAACACGTCACCCCTGCGAGGGTTGGAGTGCAGCTCGTAGCGAAGGTGCCCTCCATAGGAGGAAACCTGAGGGAGAGACAGATCCCATCATTGCTGCAAGCCCACAGCACTCAGACAAATCCCATCATTGCTGCAAGCACACAGCACTCAGACAAATCCCATCATTGCTGCAAGCACACAGCACTGAGACAACTCAGGGATGGCTGTGCTCAGCTGGCCATCAACTGTGCTCAACCAGAGCGTGAGCACTGCCTGCAGGTGAGGTCACTGTGTTCTCCATTCTCTTACCTGGTCCCCAAGGTAGGAGCTGGGTGCAACCCAGTAGAGCTCCTGGTAGGCATCTGGGAGGTTTTTGAGGTCAGCAGTGACGAGCTGCTCCCGTGGGCTCAGAGCTGTTGGCACCTCGTAGCGGTCGCTGCTCAGCAAGAGCCACCCGTGCATGTCGACAAACTGGAGGGGAAGAGAACTCTGGGTCTTCTGGTGGAGTTACAGAAAGTATTTGTGTGTTGATGCTCCAGAAGAACAGGTCCCAGAGCAGCAGAAAGGGGAGTAACAGGCTCACACCTCACATGCATCCTGATGAAGCCACAGGAAAGCTGATCATCACCCCCGCCCAGCACATGAGACCCCAGAGACCAGGAAAAGGGGCTGAAAGCAGGAGATGAGCACAGGGAGTCAAAGACAACCCTCCTCATGGAATCTTCAGTAGGATTAACACAGCACAGAGAGCTGAGGGAGCCAGGTGGATGGAACACACCTGACCTGCAGGCTCTGGGGGCCCCAGCCCCTCTCACCTCAGCCCGGTGCTTCTCGGCGCTGCGGCAGCGGTCGGTGGCACCGAAGCAGAAACACTTGGTGCAGCCCTTGGGGTTGGTGGCATCCAAAGAAAACGTCCCCAGGCGGCATTGGTCACACCTCAGGCCCTCCACATTTTCCTGAAAGATAAGCAAAGCTCAAGTGTCAGCAGTTTCTCTCAGGGCCTCAGTGGAGGACAGGGATGGCTGTCTGAGTAATCAAAGCAAAGTGCTGTGGTGCTGGAAGATGTTAGAGCAGTTCCTCAAACAGGTTTGCTTAAACAGCACCACCAATGTTAAATTCACCTAGAGAAAGCACTTGCAAGCCCTACAAAGAGGCTGGAGCAGGGCAGCTCAGAAGGTGCTTGAGTTACCCTGCTGCCATGGAGCCAGGAGCCAATAGGGCTGACAGCTCCCCCTGCAACCAGCTCTGACACAGGGCTGGACTCACACTTGCCATCTTCCCCACAGACAGCCCAAGGAGTGAAACATCCTGGCCAGGAAGGATGAGGAGATAAGAGCTTTTCAGGGTGCTCTGAACCCACCACCCCATGGGGCAGGCTGGGCACGCACAGTCTCTGCCGGAGCAGGAGAGTCAAGCCAAGGAGAAAGGCACCAATGGAGGCACTGGGGACTGACCTTGCAGTGACACTGCCCTGTGACTGGGTCACACACGCTGGCCTGGGTGCCAGCCTGGTGGCAGTCACAGCGCCTGCACTCAGGGTAGTGGTAGTAGCCAGGGGCACAGAGGTCACACTGCCGCCCGATGATGTTGGGCTTGCACCTGGAGGGACACAAGAGCCACAAGAGCTTTCAGAGCTTTCCCCATTCTGCACAAGGTGTCCCAGCAGGGACTCTAGCAGGAGCCCAGATGTCCCCAGTGGCAGAACAAGGCTGCCCCACCTGCACTGGCCGCTGTGCACGTCGCAGCCTGGCTCTGCCAGCTCCTGCACGCCGGGCCGGGAGCAGTTGCAGTCCTCACAGCCGATCAGGGGGTGGCACCCGAACGTCTGGGGCTCACACACGACACACTCGGGCTTCAGGGTGTGGGGAGGGCAGATGCACTGCCCTGTCACCTCATCACACAGACGTGTCCCGCAGTCACAGGCTGCGAGGGGCAGAAAAAGGCTGGGTTTGGGTGAGCCAGACCCAGGAACGCAGGGCAGGCATGGGGAATGGACACAGAGCAGGGGAGGCAGAGGGCAGCCAGGGGAACTCACGCCTGCAGTTGGGGAAGCCCCAGTATCCGGTGGCACAGCGGGAGCACTGGCGGCCGATGACGTTGGGCCTGCAGGGACACTGTCCCCCCAGGGGCTGGCACTGGCTGCCCCGTGCCCCCGCCTCGTGGCAGGCACACGGCTGTGCCCCGTCGTTGTAGAAGAGGGACAGGGAGATGGCAGAGTCACGGCAGAACCTCGACGACGTGCTAGGGCTGCAGGGGAAGGCAGGAGGGTCAGTGCTGCACATCCCCAAAGCCTCCCCATCATCCCAATCCAGCAGCCATGGGGACTGAGTGGGACCCATAGCCTCCCCATCATCCCAATCCAGCAAGTGGGACACACAGCCTCCACACTACCCCAAATCCAGCATCTCCTGAAGCCACGGGGGCTTAGTGGGACCCACCACCCCAAATCCCAAATCCAGCATCTTCTGAAGTCAAGGGGACTTAGTGGGACCCATATCCTCCCCATCACCCCAAATCCAGCATCTCCTGCAGCCACAGGGGCTTAGTGGGAGGGAGAGCCCTGTGACACTGAGAGCTCCTGAATATCCACGTTTGGAGAACAGAAGGAAAACCCCAACCAGCCCCTGCATGCCACACAGAAGGGAAGGGCTGCTGCTCCCTGAGGAGTGTGCAGCCTGTAGGCACCCAAAGGCAAGCATCTCACTTGATGTAGAAGCTGTTGATGCCACAGCTGCTGATGAAATCATAGGACTTGTCCAGGGGTTCCTCCTGCAGGTACTGAGGGGTGTAGCTGTCCTCAGGCACCACGAGGATGTAATCCTGCAAAGCAAGGGCAAGCTGGGTGAGCCAGCTCAGACAGACAAGCACCATCCAAAATGACTCCAAAATGCAAATGCACCTTTAACCTTCCCTGCCTTGCTGGGACAGAACACAACACACCAAGCACTGCACAGACCAGGAGTCTCCTCTCCATGAGGTCTGTCCTTCAGGGCCCACTTAACCCAAAGCTCCACATGAGGAACAGCAAAAATTCAATGGACTAAAACCAGGCAGATACCCCCAGAGCACAGCACTGGCTGTGCTGAGCAGGGAGGCAGTCTTTATCATCTGAAATTTCTACACATGAAGGCACCAGGGTTACAATTCTGTCTTTCCATTTATCCAAATTTTGGTCAACCTTCTAGTCCTGTTGCCTGAGAATAACAAGGGCTACCTACCCTCATGATGAGGCCTGCCTGAACAAACAATATTACACAGGTTTAAAATATTGCTAGAGCAGGAATAAGGCTCATTCTGGATTATTACAAACTATGTATGCAAAGTAACAGCTTCAATTTCTGTCTATTTTTGATATCAGAACCAGACAAGGAAGGACACTGTCATATACAGAAGCTGCCCCTGTAAATTCTGCCCCCAAGGGCAGAATCTCCTCCACTAAGGCTGGAGACTGCAAGTTCTTGGGTAGTTCAGAGATGAGTGATGGTGGGGAACATTCCTGAGGTCACACAGTGACAAAAATCCAAAGCCCTCTGCTGCAGCCTGCCCAGCCTGCTCTGGGAGGTTCCTGGAGAGAAGCTCACCAGCCACAGCTGCTTTCCCTCTGGCACCCGAACCACCACAGTCAGATCATTGTCAGTGACATCCAGGATGGTCTGGTCCTCAGAAACCACCAGGCTCCGACACCCGTAGCCATGAGGGCAGAAACTGGCATTGGTCTGACCTGAAAAGACAACAAATGTGTTGGTCCCACCTATCCCCTGAGTCCTCATCCTGTGACGGCATTCACAGGGGTCTGAGGATGAGGGAAGAGATGAGGATCTCACTCCATGTTTCAGAAGGCTTGATTTATTATTTTATGGTATATATTACATTAAAACTATACTAAAAGAATAGAAGAAAAGGTTTCATCAGAAGGCTAGCTCAGAATAGAAAAAGAAAGAATGATAACAAAGGTTTGTGGCTTGGACTCTCTGTCTGAGCCAGCTGTGCTGTGATTGGCCATTAATTAGAAACAACCAACATGGGCTAATCACAGATGCACCTGTTGCATTCCACAGCAGCAGATAATCAATGTTTACATTTTGTTCCTAAGGCCTCTCAGCTTCTCAGGAGAAAAAATCCTAAAGAAAGGATTTTTCATAAAAGACGTCTGTGACACCCATCCCATCCTCCCACTTTGGAAGGGTAAGTCAGCCTTCCTTCATTTCTGCAATCCCTAGAGAGCCCACAGTCATCCCCTGGCATGGCAAACCCCCGGGGCTCCTGGCACCCAGCATTTCCCCAGGTCCCTGCTGCTCTCACCTTGCCAGATGCGCCCTCCATTGATGAGCACCTCCACGGGGAAGCTGGGGTGGCTGGGCTGGTACAGGTGCAGGATGAAGGCGTAGCGTCCCAGGCTCTGGATCCTGCTGCTGAACACCACTGCAGCCTGCCCCAGCATGGGAGAACACAGACACAAACCCATGTGAGACACCTGCACACACGGCTGGGCTGTTCCTGAATTACTGCACAGATCTGTGCTCCTATTGCCCAGCTGCCAGGTGTGGAGAATTCAGTGAATCCAGCCCCCCGTGCCTCCACACTCTCCTCTCTAATAGTGCCTGGGATCCCAGAGAACCAATAAAGTTGGATAAAACCAAGACTGGTGAGTCCACAGGAATTACAGGTTCAGGAAGAAGTTTAAAGCTCAGATCAAATTCTGAAAATGCTAATTGATAAAGCATTAATCAACAGGTAAGGTAGATTTCTCCCTGCCCCAGTGATTCAGTGTCACACACCAGCAAACCAGCCCAAGCCTTGCCTGTGCCCCTACCTGTGGGGACTGCAGGAGGATGAGCTCTGCAGTGGGGTCCATGGCTGTGGGAGGACGAGGAGCAGGCTCCACTGGCACCCCAGATGGAGCCACATGGACAGCCTGAGCCAGGGGCACCTCTGGGGGAATGGGCAGAGCCTGGGCCCCCTCCAGAATGATCGACTGAGAAAGCTTCAGGAACCTTGAGGGGACACAGGAGCTGCTGGAAAACAAGGAGTACACAGGATGTGAGTATGTCCAGAGAGAAAGAGAGGAGGAAAGCATCCCCTGTAACTCCTGGTGGATTACAAGGTGTCCCTGCTTAGGGAGAGCTCACTGCCAGCACTCCTGGGGCTCTGGGACAGGGGCTCTGCAGGAAGAACAGGAGCCTGGCACAGGCCAATTCCTCTGCAAATATTTATCTGAAGCAGTGTCAAAAATTTGGAGACAGCAAGGGTCTTGCTGTACGTGAGCAAGCACAAGAGTGCCTGTTTGGGACTACACCTGAGTGCCTGCCCCAGGAGGGACCATCAGCCTGATCCCAGTCTGTGCTCACAGGACACAAGCAAGGAGCTCCACCTCAGCTGGAGATTTCTTCACTAAAAACTTATAAGTCTCTGAGCCTGAGGGAAGCGGGACATGCAAATGTTTTTGGAAATAGTCCCACTGATGCTAAAGCCAAGGAGGACCTGAGCCCCTCACCTGTTGGATGAGAAGGTGCCATGGACACTGATGCAGTGCACCTTCGGCTCGATGAGCTCCATGGTGAACTGTGCAGCAGGGATCAGGTACACTTTGTGCTGCACAAGGGAGAGAGACACTTATGTGACATCCTGTGCCCTGGAGCCACAGCTGGCCCTGTGCCCACCAGCCAGCAGCCACTTCAGCCAGTACATGGCATCACACCTCTGCTTAGTCCTTGGCACAAGCATTATGGCATTTAGAAGCTCCACATATGGATGGGATTCCTCCATCCTTGACTAAACTAAGAATGTCTTCAAGATAAAAGAACTGCCCCACTGCTACAGAACTCCCTCTGCAGGAGCAGCTGCTTCTCCCCATCTCCTCCCACTCCCAGCCCCATGATTTACTTCAAACACCCCAGTGACCACACTCTCCACTTGGACTGGTCGTGACACAGACTAACATCCAGTATCCAGTCCAAACAGGACTAGAAAACTCAGACTAAAATCAGAGATACAACTCAAACAGGACTAGAAATCCCAGACTAAGATCTGAGATCCAGTCCAAACAGGACTAAAAAACCCTCCTACATGCTGGGTCCCAGTCCAGCCTTTTTCCCTGTGACCTGTTGACAGAGATGCCCTCAGGGGGAGCCTCACCAGGAAGAAATCAGCCAGATCAGAGGTGAACCGAACAGTGGCCTCGGAGGTGAGTTCAAAAGTTGCCATTCGACTCTGGGAATCCACAGCAATCCCTCGACAAAGGAAACTGTAAGAGAAACACACATTTTGAAATCAGCCTTGCACAGGGTCATGACCCATTTCTTGTCCTGCCAGCTCTGTGTCCTGAGGGGATTTACACAAAGTCCCTGGAAATCTTTTGATGTTTTTTCTGGCTGCTCGCAAGAGCAAAGTTTTCCAAGGACACCCCAAACATTTGTTTCCTACTGCAAAGGTCGCAATCTGAAGCCAGACAGGGTTTGACCTGTCTCAAATAAACCTGCCTGGAGGCCATGCCCTAAGTCAAGGTCCCTACCAACAATTCAGCTGTAAACAGATGCCCAAGATTATCTCCTGGCAGAGGCAGGTACATCTTCCCTCAGATGGGGGACTAAAATCTGTGTCCAGCTAGAACGAGTCGGGACAGAGCTTAGTGGACAACATTGGAGCTTGCTTTGTTTATAAACCCAAAAAACTTCAAGTGGAGGGGAGGTTGTCCTTGCCAAGGCAGAGAACTGGACCCTTTCTGCCCCGAGGTGCCCTTACCTGTAGGCACAGGGGTAGAAGGTGAAGGTGCCCTGCTGCGTTGGCGAGCGCGGCGAGCTGACGGCGATGGCCACGCTCTGCAGGGCGTTGGTGTTGGCATATTCCACCAGCAGCACGTGCTTCCCAGGCTGGGCTACGGACAGGGACAGCTGCACTTCCACCTGCAGCACAGAGGGAGCGCTGAGGGAGGGCGTGCAGGGTGCTACAAACCAGCCTCCTCTGCAGCTCAGAGGACAACGCACCAAATGTCATCAAAGCCTCGCAAACCTTTACAGGTGAGACTCTGGGTTAGGGGGCCCTGAACTGCTGCAGGAGTGCAAAGCCTTTCTGGTGTAGGTAAAGACATGATCAAATGAAATGCAATTGAAAACAACCCAAGAAACCACAGAAAATGGAGAGATTTAGTGACTACGAGAAAATGGTCTGGGAGGAAATGAGGTGCAGTGCAAAGGATCAAAACAAAGCTCACAGATGCTGCAAAAGCAGGGAAAAAAAAATCAAGGAGGAAGACACATCTTTGAGGGCAAGATATGAGGGACATGGCATGAATATTTAAAAAAGTAAAGCCCCAGACAGGAGGAATAGGGTGGCCAGGAGGGGACAAAACAGAAGTGGCACTCACATCAGTGCCACTGCAGGTGGCCATGGGCGGGTGGGAGGGGGTGAGCTGCTCCGTGGGACACAGCCTGGGGAGCCTGTTGTCCATCCTGCACACTGCATCCACCCCTGGCACGGCAGGGAAGCCCTCCACAGACAGGTACTTGTACAAGAGGCAGCTGGAAACACACAGAAATAAATGGTGAAGTACAACAGTTACAGCATGGTTTTAAAAGTTGAGAGCACCCACACAGCCTGGGCCCAGCCAAGTTTGCAAAAGGCTTTGGTGTATCAGGAGGGCCAAGGAGCAGCTCTGGGCAGTGGGGAGCAAGGGACTGGGCATTACAGGACCAGGGAGAGCAGAAACAACAAAAAACCTCCCTTGGCAATGGGCTTTATGCTGGGGACCACTGCTATGGTGGATGGGACAACCAGTGTCCAACACCCAGCCAGCCTTCTTGCCAACGTGCACAGAGAGGTTCTGGGCAAGCAGATACATTGAGATGCTCCAAACACTACCAGACTACTCATTGTAAATAGTCAAGCAAAACCCACTCATGGCAGCTGTTTCTGAGGACTCACTGGGAACCCAGCCCAGCAGAGAGGGGGGCTGTGGTGTCACTGGGTGAACTGGCCCTCCAGGGTCCATGACAAAACATAGACTGGCTGTGTCATGGATGAGGAGATCTATGGGCTGGCTTTCTGGGCTGGTGCAGGTTCCACAAGCCTTATTTGCCACAGCCAAGTGCTCTATGAGCAGTTTTACTGCATCACTTAGTATGGACTATGTATACTCCTTAAGCCCAGGCCAAGAGGAGCTGAGCAAGCCCCACACAGCACAGAGATGTGCAGATCCTTACTTCTGGGTGGCTTGTTCAGGGGCTGGCTGGTAGACACAAGGCTCTGTGACCTTCAGCTGCAGGATTGGTGCTTCGTAGTATGAGCTGGGCAGCAAAACCAGGTAGTCCTGGGAGGAGAGATGGGAGAGGTGTTATGCTTGGCACACATGTCCCCAGGGGGCTGCTGAAGCCCCCACGGTGGGTGGAGCACAGGGCCTTACCAGCAGCACCCCCTGTGCTTCCACAACCAGGGACCAGGTGCTGGGGTTGAGCACGAAGGGCTCCCCGAAGCTGTTCTGGGGCACAGTGACAAAGGCTGGCTCCGTGCTGGGGGCAAAGACAATCTGCTTGGTCTGCTCTGTACCTGGAACGGGAGGGATGAGAGGCTGTGAAGGGACTGGAATGGAAAACTGGGGCTGGACATGGCAGGGAATGCTCAGGGAAGCAGCTCTATGGTGCAGTGGGCAGTGACAGGTTCCCACTCTCTCGGTGCACCACAGTCCCACACTGTCCTGGAACAGAGACATCCACTCTCAATCTGCTCAATAGCCTAATGGGAGAAATAAATAGAAATCACTGCAATCCTCAATGCAAATCCAGAGCTCTCAGTGTGCTCTGCATCCCCAGGCTGCAAAGCACAGAGTGTTGCAAGCCAAGGAGCGTTTTGCCAGCTAGAAAAGGAAAGAACTCATCTGTGAAGAGTTAATTGTGAGACAGACAAAAAGAATTGCCCAGATACATTTTTTCCTCAGGGAAATGCTGACCCCAGCTCCACAGGCAAAACACCTGTCTTCTGGCAAACCTTCAGGCCCCCAAGGTGTGCTCCTGCCTTTCTTCCTGCCAACCAGAGACTCTGCACTTGAGATTCAGACATTATCTCAAACTGACAGAACAGAAGGGGTGCAGTGCTGATCCTGCTGCTGCTGAGCAGCTCCTTGGCTCATGTGACAGTCCCACAACCTCTTCATTAATGGATGCCATCACCATACAGCACCTGGAAGCAGACTGTGTGCCTGCCCAGCATGTTTTGAAGAGCACAGTGAGAGGGATTCACCAGGAATGGCTGCACAGCGAGCAGGTGAGATGAAGGAAGTGGAGAATGTGGCACACTGACTGTCCTGCTGTGCTACATGGACATCAAGGCACAACACACAGGCTCAGAAGATAAAGCAAGGGCTTGTGCTGCTGCTGGGATGGTCAATAACCCCTGCCCATGGGTGGCAGCTCTGTGACATGCCTGCCATCAGCTGAGGCTGGGACCTCACTTTTCCAGATGGGAAGCAGAGGTGAGGATTCAAGGAATGAAGAGATTCCCCTGAACTGGCACTGGGGTAGATTTATTGACTGAAGTTTCAGATCCCTTTGAGGCAATACACAGCTCCAACTGAGATGGCTTCTGGAGGCAGAGTGGAAGAAACCAGGCTGAAAATCCCATACTTAGAAAAGGGTTCCCATTTTTCAAGCCACATCTTCCAACTTCTTTCCAAGCTGTTTGTTCTTTGCCACATGAAGCCCTTTCCATCCAGACATGAGGTGGCTCAGCAGCCCTGAAATCTCCCAAGGATGCTGCTTGTCCTGTGGATGGTGCACCAGTTTGGCTTCTTGCCTTCAGCACTAAAAAAATCACATTGCTTCTGCACAAGAAGTGAAGCACTTTTTAAGGCAAATGAGCTCTGCTGCTTGGATAGGACAGGTTAAACACTTCCTGACCTTTGGTGGGATCCTAAAGCATGACCACAGTTCCTGCTCTTCTTGTTCTTTTGCTGTGTAACATGACTGAACATAAAAAAATAATCCATTTTGTCTTCCAAAAAGAAAAAAAGGGCAGAGAAATAATATTTTGGCATTCCAAACCTTGCATATCACATCAAAGGCAGAACCTATGCTAGCTTAAGACAGAGGAGAGAACTTCACACACTAATAAATTAGGTAATCAGTGTTGACAGCCTTGTGCTGTGGATGCGTGGTCTGGAGGAAGAGTTTCAGCAGGACTGTGGCATCCCAAGGGGTAAAACCAGGCAGCCAACCACCCACCATGGCCTCAGGTGTGCTCCCATGTTGTCTTGCTCAGATTGCTTCCCAGAAAAATTGCTGTCCAGATTCCTAGGCTTGTTCAGACATCTTTTGGTGGCTCTTCTCCAGCAGCTCATGGTTTGATGAGAGGACACTGCACCAGAGTGCAGTGCCTGTGTAAGATGTGTAATTCCACAGCACTTCCAAGCCCCATACCATGTGTGAAGCCAGCAGCCTGGTGTGGGAGAAGCACACAGGAAAGGCAAGACCTGCCACATCAGGGCATGTGGTAAATAGAACCACAGCCAGCTGCCAAAGACTGGAACCATTCTGCTCTTGTGGAAAGTGAGCTCAGCTTTGCCTGGGGCACTGGGGTGATCTTGTCCTGTGCTGGAAAGGTTGCATGGAATTGTACAACAGCTTTATTTCCCACCAGCCTGGCTGGTGTCAGTCCTCAGTGTGCAGCCCCAGGGCTGGGCCCACCTTGCTGCAGCTTTGGTAAATAAAGGGGGCTGCAAACTCAAATCAGCCTTTCAGCTGGGAGAGCAGGACTAATGGGTAAAGCCATATGGAAGCGTCTTCTGGAAAGGATGATGCAGGAGGCTGCCTGGGATGGGGAGGAGGTGGCGATGGCACAGGGAAGCAGAGCGGTCTGGGATCCTTACCTCTCCTTCGTGGCTGATAAGCTGTAATTGTGCCATACACAGTGGCCCCTCCTGAATTAATATACCTCAGGATGACATGGAACAGATAGAGCTCTGCCTCCTTCACGTCTACAGTGACTCTGATCTTATTCTGCAAAAAGCAAAAGAGCACATGGGGCACACATCACTGGGGGGGGCAGCTCCTGAACGCCCACCCGCTCTGGGGAGGGCCTGGCCCGCCTGCCCTACCTGCCTGCCTGCCTGCCTCTGCTCCCCCTCCCTTCCAGCCCAGGCACGGCTCTGGCCGGACGCCTGACAGGGGCACGCTGGGGACGGACACACCTGGGGGCAGGAGAAGGGGCACAGGAGCAGTGTCGCAGCGTGGGATGCTCTGAGTTAGTCCAGAAGTGAAAAATGCACTTACAGTTGGCACAAACATTAAACTTTCCTTCCTCAAGGACCGAGACCCTCCCTTGCACACTGGCGGGCCCCCGGCTGACGTAGCGGAAGACGAGGCGGAAGAGGTCGGGGGAGGTCACATTGACAGTCACCACTACCTTGGGCTGGTGGGAGAGAGAAAGGGGAGAGAAGCAGAGCACACCTTCAGTTACCTCCACCACCCTCACTGCCAGCCCAAGCACGGCTCACTGCTCCCAAAGCAACATGCCACAGCGCGAGGAGGAGACAAGCACACGGACCCTGCTGCTCATGACACCTCCTGACACTGTCCCTGATCTGGGGACACTTGGGGACAGCCACCCAGGGAGCAGCCTGCCTCTGGAAGAGGGTGGGAAGGCTGTGATCACACCTGAAGGATGCTGGGGCACAGCAGGGTGGCTCATCTGTCCTGGGGCACACACAATTACATGGGAAAGGTTATGGGAAGTTGTTGCTTTTGTTGTCAGTGTGTTGCTTTAGGGTTTAGCATGCTGCAACCAGGCACCAGGTACCAAACTCCTGCCCTTGTATCTATGGGGCTCTGCCCAACTGCCTAGAGAACAGGCTGGGAATTGAGCTGGTGCCTCATCCTCAGCAATGTGCAGTGCTAAGGACCAGCAGGGCTAATGCACCATACAACTCATAGCACATCTGCTCTCCCACTGCCTGGACAAGACCCTGGCTAAGGAGATGCTCAAGTTTGACCCATTTCAAAGAGATCCCTAGGCTTAAATAACTTCCTGCCCAGGGAGACTTGTAATGAGGGCTGTGTTCTCCAAAGCTCCAGTTACAAACCATCTTCCCATGGAGAGCAAAGTGGAAGGGTTTTGATGACAACAAATTACAGGTGAGACCTGTCAGCCAAAAGCCACGTGCCAGCCCTTCTATCAAGGTCCATTTCTAGCTAAAACACCAATGCAACACTGCAGCTATGAGCTTGAGCTCCATCCTTAAGCTTTAAGGCTGGGATTTTCCCAAGGGAGCCCCACTGGGGTTCATGCTTAGCTCCTACCTAAAATTCAGTGGGAAACAGCCCCTCTGTGATTTCACCTAAGCACAAATACATGAGGAAAACTGAAAGTACATGCACCAGAGTAAGGAGCATCTTACATGGAACAAGACTGTCAGAGAATCACTGCCCTGTACTCCATCCCCAAACGTGCACACACTTCGCAGAGGCCATGCAGAAGAAACCACCAAGGAGAGAGAAAAAGAGTCAACAGAAGAAACAGCTTCACTTCTAGGGCTTACACAACTCCAGGTTAGCATAAACCATTGTTACAGCAAACCAGCTAACAGCAAGGGCAAAGGCTGAAGGGTAACAAGAGGTCCAAGCTGAACATGGGAGCTGAGGAGGAGATACTTATTTTTGGAAAGGGGAGGAAAGGTTATGCAGAGTTATAGGAAAGAGCAGAGTCAGTTGAAAGAGGAACAAGGAAACGGAGAGACAGTGTTTATAGACATCCCTGTAAGTAATCACCATGCTGCCACCTTTGTCTAAATAGATTAGGATGTCATGGGATTCCCAGTTTAGGATCTTTCCCCTCATCAGTCTATGCCACCCCCAGCACTACAGGAAGTATCTGCACAAACAGGCTATATATACACTGTGCTGTTTATGTTGGCCATCCTGTGACTTGGGGGGTTTCAGGAGCATTTGGGGTCAAAGATGTGTGCCAAAAGCACATCAGTGCTCCACTGGCCACATCCTCCCCATGGGGAGCCGGGCTGGGCTGCAGCCAGCAGCGTACCTGGATGGAGGACATCTGTGCATAGCCTCGCCAGCTGAAGCCCTCAAACTCCAAGGGGTTGTAGCCAAAGCGCACAGCCCGGCCCGACGGCGTGGTGCCTTCCTCCAGCTCGAATTTCAAGTGGTGAAGGTCAGGGAAATAATGATCCCGTGCTGGTCTGGGGAACAGAGAGAACACCATCACCTGCGGGGTACCGGAGGGAGCGGCAGAGGTCACCTCCGCCAGGCTGATGTGACAGGGTCCCCATCCCGTGGTGGCAGAGGGCACCGTGGGAGGCAGAGCATGCCCAGGTGCAGCTTACTGTGTGCAGGTGGGACCCCGCGTGCCCTGCCGGCAGCGACAGGCTCCGCTCCGTGCCTCGCAGGACGGCCCCAGCGCCCCGCCGACGTCGCACCGGCAGCCTGCGGGAGGAAGCGCCTGTTTACATTCCCGCCGTGCTAACGAGCTCCTGCTCGCTCATCAAAGGCACATCCCCAGCGGGCCCGGAGCCTGCGGCCACTATTTTTATTCCATTGTATCCGTTTTCATATCTGGCCCTGGCCCCACTTGGATGGACACTCTCCTTCCACCTCAGCGCGGAGCTATTTCCAGGCGGATGATGGAACAAGGTCTGCAAACCCTCACGGTGGCCACGAGCTGCAGCCCTGCCAGTGCTGCATGGCATGGCTCAGAGCAGCCCATCTCCTCCTTCACCTCTTCCCATGGACAGAGGGGAGAGCGGGATCTCCTCCTTTATTTCTTCCCATGGACAAGGTGGAGAGTGGGATCTCCTCCTTTACCTCTTCCCACAGACATGGTGGAGAGTGGCCAACCCCATGTATCCGTACCCATCCTGTCCCAGCAGGAGGAAGGGGCATTGCAGCAAGGATGTGACCAGTGGTTCAAACACTGTTTCTGGTACCCAAAGGGGCACCTCACCAGGCTGTATGCTCCCCAGCCTGACAGACCTGTGTCCAATACTGGAAAAGCACAACCTCAGGTCTCCAGAGCCACAGTCCATGCTCTGAGCTGTGGTATAGAATCACAGAATAAAGGTTGGAAGAGACTTTTAAGATCATCCAATTCCAACCATCAACCCAGCACTACCACTGTACCCTTAAAATGCTTAACTGCATCACCCCAAAAATGATGACTCAAAACAGAAGGTGGTTATCTCTTGCCCCTTTTCTCCAAGGTCACCACCAGTCAGTCTGTGCAGTGGGGTCAGTTCTTGTGGCCCTTCACTCACCAAACACCTCAGAGAAGGGGCTCACCTTGGCAGCCAAAGTAATTGGCATTCTCCATGTTGAAGTAGCCATCCTTGCAGGCTGAGCAGAGCTTCCCACACACGTTGGCTTTGCAGAAACACTGCCCATCGCCCTAGGAGAGAAGCAGGCATGGAAACTCATTCCCTCCTGCTGCTTGTCATGGCTAAGCTGTTCCTCAGTTATTTGGGTTCTGGTCTGAGACACTGCAGAAGCAGCAGACTGAGATTCATGCTTCACAGTGCTTCCTGCGCGTGGGTGGGCCAGATAAGGGCCAGATAACTTAAATTACCCAACAATGCAGGCAAACAAAAATCCAGGCATCCTGGGACAGACACAGAAATATTTAGGTGCCTAATTTATGACAGGTCTTAATCCCACATTCTCATGCGAGCCCAGATTGTGGTGCAAGAGCTGAGAGCTCAGTACTGGGCCCTCTCCAGCAGCTGCTGGGTCAGACAGAGCTGAACACTCCCAACACAGCACACTCAGGGGAGCCTGGAAGCAGAGAACAAACCCACCTGCCGGCACTCTGTGATCCCACTGATGGTGCCCTTGGTGTCACACTTGCAGCCTGAGGAGAGGGACATGAACAAGAAAGCCAGAAGGTCAATCAGCCTCTGAGGAGAAGCCCGATGGGGTCAGCACCCACCACACCAGAGGACAGTGGTTGGGGTAAGAGGAGCCAGGAACTGCTCAAGTAGAAGGTAGCTCTGCCCAAGTGCTCAGATATCATTTTGTACAGCTCCTGTTAAGGACACAGCTACCACAGATATTTGCCTTTTCTGCATATTTGGCCATGAAAAATTAGGTGTCTGTAGGGAGGGCTGGGAATGGCACAGCTCATTGTATGAACCCTATGCTTCATCCCAAGCAAAAAGCTCCAGGTCCAGCCTTCACCCTGTCCAGGTGAGGGTCACCCAGAGGACCCCAGTTCTGGGTGAAGATGGAAGGAAGGCCATCACTTCCAAATGGTGCTCACTGGCTTGGGTTTGGCTCCTGCACCATGGAGGGGAATTTGTGGGCTGTGCAAATGCCATTTCCTTACTCAGGCAGCCATAGGGGTTCTCTGGAGTCAGGTTCCAGTATCCAGGCTTGCATCTGTCACAGGCTGGGCCTTCCACGTATGCCCGACATGCACAGGAGCCCTGGGGAAAGGCAGGGGGAGAAAAGAGCAGGTTAGAATTTGCAGCACAGTGGTTGAATGTGGGGTCTGCTGCTCTGGCTGAGCCTAAGAAAGGACTTGGTCCAAAAAGAGATAAAGTAGATCAAACAGAATGACCTGCAGGGGTTGTGGTAGGTTCATTTCATACTCACCGGGGCCAGCGAGGGATCTGCAGTCTCCAACCCTGCTGGGTTACAGGAGCCCACTAGAGAAGAGGGGTAAAAGAACAGATTTACAGCGCTAGAACTGGAGTTATTTCTCCCCTTGCAAAGCTTTTGGGGGATGCTGAATGCATTTACCACACCCAAGAGGCTGGGGTGTGACAGAGATGAGGGCAGGGGGTACCTTGGCAGTGGGGGAAGCCGTAGGCACCGGGCTCACAGCTGTCACAGCGCAGCCCCGTCACCCCGGGCCGGCAGCTGCACTGCCCCGTGTCCTGCTCACAGGAGCCGTGCAGGGACCCCTCCCGGGAGCACTGGCACGCTGCAAGAGAGGGGAGAGAGCTGCTGCATTCAGGGCTGCCCAGCAACTGCCTCCTTTGTCTGCCTGACCTTCACCGAAATCAGGATTATAAATAAAATTCTCATTCTTTGCTTTTGCTAAAAAACGCCCCATCTTTTAGGAAAAACAATAGAAGTCTCAATGTTTATCACAGCCATTCACATACATTTATGTGTATTTCAGAGGCTTTATGTGTATTTCAGAGGCAGGGAAGAGTTTTGGTTGAGGAGAAGGGGTGTGATCTCATCCCCCAAAAGTCAGTTGCCAGTGATATATCAGACCCTACAAAACCCCAAAAATTCCAGAACAGCATTTGGCAATCAGGGTCTGCCCTGCGGATGCTGGGCAATGGTTCCACAGCCTCTGCAGGACCTGCTGCCCATGAATGCACAGAGATCCACTGCCCTATCACAGGAAAGGTCAGCAAGCTGCCAGGAGCTGCCCATGCCTTCCCTACCCAGCCAGCACACCTCAAACCAAAGGAGACATTCCAGGCTGACACCCCCACACTGGCTAACAGCTAAAGACTGCTCAGGAAACCACAGACTTAAAAAAAAAAATAAAAATCAGGTGGTTCTCTTCTTTCCTTGCTGTGGGTCTTCTCCAGCTCTGCAATCTGGCTGTGGCTTTATGAGACCAAAAGAAAAAGTGACTGCTGAAGTCCTGTGAGAGCATTTCATCTCTGCCTCCAGCCTCTTCAAAGGCATTCTGCCGGCATCAGCATTTGGGAGCAGAGCTCTGCCAGCTGGCAGGGCTCAGAGTCCACATTTAGGACTGTGCAAGAGGGTGATGATGCTCTTTTGTTGCTTCATGGAAATTGTATCACGGATTACTTTTTAATGAGCAGTAAATTCTTGCTGGGAGACATGAGAGTACATCTGGCTTCTAGTCGGGGCTGCTGACAGGGAGGGAGGTGGGGACACTCTGCTCACAGGATTTGGGGCTGCAGGCACCTGACACAGGCACCAGCAGCAATAATCCAGGAGCGATGCAGTGCCCAGGGAAATGGATGGGAGCAGAGAATCATTAAGGTTGGAAAAGACCTCTCAGATCATCACCCAACTGTTCCCCCAGCAGTTCCAAGCCCACCACCAAACCATGTCCCCAAGTGCCACATCTACATGATTTTTAAATCCTCCCAGTGATGGTGACCTCACCACTGCCCTGGGCAGCCTGTGCCAATACTTGACAACTTTTTTGGTGAAGAAATTTTTCTTAATACCCAACCTAAACCTCCCAGAGTGCAACTTGAGGCCATCTCCTCTTGTCTGGTTTCTTGGCAGAAGAGACCAACCTCAGTCTGGCTACACCCTCCGCTCAGTGTTTGCAGAGAGCAGCAAGGAGTTACTCACGTGTGCAGCTGGGGAATCCATAGAAGCCCAGGGCACACTGGTTGCAGGTGTGCCCTGCAAAGTTCCCGTGGCATCGGCACTGCCCCGTTGGGCTGCAGGTGTTGTCCACTGCACCCCGGGGATCGCAGGAGCAAGCTGCAAGAGCAGGACTCTGATCATCCCTGAGATCCATGGCCAGGCACTGCTGCTCTGAACCATCATTCAGCCCCCCAGGAATCAGCCACTTCCATCAGAAAAATATTAATTTCTTAATCCCTTGGCCAATGGTGCAGTATTTGCATAGCCATACCAGGAAAATGTACTGAGGGGTCTTTACAGCCTATTCAGTGTTCCCCAGCAGTTTAGTAGGCTAATGTACTAAAATCATACACACACAAAAAGGACATAAACTGAGACACCAGGTCACAGCAGGGTTGTGATGAGGAAGAGTGACTGATAAAAACTACTTTGTCTTCCAGGCTTTGCTATGATCCATGACTCCCAAAACAAGCCTGCCAAATTCACAGTGCAGACCACATGGATTTGATACTGAGAAACACCAAAGTCTTGCAAGAACAGCCATGTTCTTTAGAAGGTTCAGGTGCTTACCGTAGCAGTGGGGGTAGGAGTGGTAGCCAGGGCTGCACTGCTCACAGCGTGGCCCTGCAAACTCAGCCCTGCAGAAACAATTCCCAGCAGAGTCACAGCCTCCTGGCAGCGTCCCCACAGCACTGCAGCCACACACTGCAACACACAGAACACCCCCTGAGCTGGGAGCACGGGGCAGAGCTCATGGCAGAATATCTTTTTCCTGGGCTTCTCAGACAGGTATCAGGTGCTCTCTAAGCGTTCACACCATCAGTCTCTGCCCATGGCACATAATTTCCAAAACCACTTTCCAGCCCTTCAGTCCCCTGCCAGAGGATTCTGGCTGTGTCCCCACCCAGGCCCATGAAGCACAGGTACTCACACTGGCACAGAGGGTAGTTGAAGTAGCCTGGAGCACACTGGTCACACGAGTGCCCTTCGAAGCCTGTCCGGCACAGACACTGCCCCGTGTCACTGTCACAGGTGCCATCGTACTGACCAGGGCCAGAGCACTGGCAGGCTGCAAAGCAACAAGGCCATCAGTAAATCAGCAGGTTTTTTTGTTTTTAGCCTTCCCAGGAAAGGAACCAGAGCATCTGGGGTAGAAGAGTAGTTGCTGGGGAAAGCATGAGGAACAGAGCTGATAGCAAGCATGTCTGGCCCATAGCGAATTCCTCCAGAGTCCCCCATGGCTTGGGAGGATGCTGGAGGGTCAGGGCTGGGTGGAAAACAACAGCAGAAGTGCAGAAGTCATGGGAATTTATCACTTGGAAGCAGAGCTGTGGAATTCCTCCTCCCCAGCACAGGTGGAGAACAAGGAGAAGGCCAGCAGGGCCACCCTGGGGACACTGCCCGCTGGGTACTCACGCTGGCAGCTGGGGCCGTAGTGGCCTGGGGCACACTGGTCACAGTGTGTACCCTGGAAGTTGGGTTTGCACACACACATCCCCACCCGGGGGTCCTTGCGACAGGCGTTGCCCTCTGTCCCTCCTGCGTAGCAGTCACAGTCTGCAAGGGGACAACAACAGACACCACACATGGCTGTCAGCCCAGCTCTGCCAGCCCAGCTCTGCCAGGCCAGCCCTGAGGTCCCACAAGGACACAGAGGAGCTGCCCTGAGGCAGCTCAAATGCTCAGGCATTTGTTTCCATACCCTTCCTATCAGATAAGAATGCTTTAACCACCCACGCCTGGCTCTCAGGGTGGCTGGCAGGGCTCAGCACCATGATGCTGTGGAGGTGCAGGGTGGACAGCAGGGCAGCACACAGGGCAGGCAAATGCTGCTTCCACAAGCCCAGGCAGAACTGAGTCAGTGTTGTGTGGGAATAAGCACAGCCTTGGGCTAATCAGGCAGTTTCTCTCTGGTCACTCCATGCTCAGCTGCACCCCAGACCTTCCCACTTCCAGGGCAGGGTGTGCCAGGCAGGCAGTGCCAAGGCTCTGAGCCAGCCCTGCTGTCACCAACAGCAGTGGTGTGGGGTGCTGGGCTGGGAGAGGCAAGGACAAACATCATCCAAAAAGCAGAGGGAGGGGGAGGTGAGGAAATGAGAAGGGAAGTGAGAAATTCCAGCTCAGGAAAGAAAAAACCTGTCTGGAAGATACAGACTTCAAAATATCTGAAGGAAGGAAAAGGTTATCTGGAGTGTGCTGGGGAGCATGAGACAGGGGAGGATTTGGTGGGAAAAGACACAGAAAAAAGCACAAGGGAGTAGATGAACTGAGAGGAGTGAGCATGAGAGAGCAGGGAGGTGTGGGGAGCATGAATGAGAGCATGGATGAACTCTCTAAACAAGAGGGAGCGACCCAGAGTGGCTGCCTGTGCACGACCCTTCAGAGGTGCCCACAGCAGAGCTCCCAGCTCAGCCACAGCCCCTCTGTGACCTTTGGGGGAGGTTCCTCACAGGGAGGGCAGAAGGGACATCCCCACATGGCCTGGACCCCAGGAAAAAAATCACACTGTCACTCTAGGCTAGAGCTTCCACATCGGTATAAAGGGAATCATGAAACTTCCTTTCCACCCAACTCAGCTGATGGTTGTACTCTCTTAAAACCACCCCATACAACATATGTGCCCAATAAGTTGAAGACCTGATCTTGCATTGGATGGAAGGTATAACAGAAATGACACCATTACATCAAGGAAAATTGCACTGCTTACTTATTATCTGTCCTGCAGGAAGCACTTGTTCTCCAGTACTGTTGTGAGAGAAAGCTGGAATGGCTGTGCAGAGAAAAGACACATTGGACATGTCAGCACACACACTCAGAGAAATCCTGATGGAATATCAGGGACTTGACAGTCCCAAAACTGAACAGGCTGAATAAAAATGTTGAACATGGAACAAAGCACAGATAACCATTACAGCCCTTTTTAGCCTGTCTTTCTCAAGAAAGTGGGAGATGAAACTCCAGCCCCATGTGAAGCTCCTGTTGACTCTGTGTTCAGAGCAGCTCAGCTCTGCTGCAGCTCCCACCCAAACCAAATGTGAAAGAACTCCTGGTGGGACAGGAAAGCACATCCCAAGAGCCAGAACTGGAGCTGCTGGGTGTGTGTGCTCCCAGCTGTGCCCCCACACTCACGGTAGCAGTGGGGGAAGTTGAGGTAGCCCTCGGCACAGGCGTGGCAGTGCTCCCCGGTGTAGTTGGGTTTGCAGTAGCAGCGCCCGGTCAGGTCCTCGCAGGTGCCATCGGTGAAGTCAGACTCACAGTTACAGCCTGCAGAGAGGGACAGGTGACACTGAGTGAGCCTCACACTGCCTGCAGCAGGAAAACCTCCCAGCCCAGCCCTGCCCAGTGCCACCCAGGCCAGCAGGATGTCACACTCACGGTAGCAAACATAAGGAGAGTCGATGGGGTGGTCGGGGGAGCGATAGTAGCCAGGGATGCACCTCTCACAGTTAATGCCAGTGGTGTGGTGCTGAAAGACAGTGGGTTGGAGAGGCATCAGTTCCTCTGCCTGCAGGATTCACATTCATCTGCTAGATTTACTAGGAGCTCCAGGTTACAGAGGAAGCAGCACACCAAAGACCCAAATCTGCTCAAAATTCCACAGACACCGACTTGGGAACAATGCGCTTCCTGCCAACTGCATCCTCCCATAAATAAAGTGTGAGTTTCAGGTTCATATCTGACCTTGAGCCCATTTCACTTCTTTCAGGTGGTAAAATGTCCTGACCATTTTGTGCACAAAGGATGGGAGCAACCTGTTCCTCCCAGCAAGGAAGCACAGCCAGAAGTTTCATGCCAGTGCATGAATTAATCATGTCACTGTCACCTTGGTAAGGGAAGAGCTATGCTCCCACTTTCACAGAGACTGAAGACTGGCATTTTGGTGGGCAGAGAGACATCCAGGGAGATGCCAGAGCACTGTGAACCAGGCAGGGATTACACAATGTGCTGGGCAGCAACCTGTGCCTCCCAATTCTGGTGTCTCAGCAAACTCAAGCTTTAGGAGGTAGTGGTACTACCAGGGTACTACCAGCTAGAAACCCAAGTGCTGTTCTCATTACTGGTGCACACTCCTTTAATCCACAGCAAAGAGACTAAATTTCCAGGCAGAGACCTAATTTAGATAACAGAGGGGCTTGGTGGAGAGGTCTAGGAGGCTGAACTCCAGGCTGACAGCAGAAACAAACACAAACATTTGCAAAAGCCTTTTCCAGAGAAGCTTTTTGGGCCTACCTGGCAGTCAATACAAACACCTCCCCCTTCAAACTTGTCCTCACGGCTTCTGCTGGCTTTGTGTCTATCCACCTCTGGGTCGTAGTAGCAGTCATAGGCATGGCCATTGCAATTGCAGGCTGGAACACAGAGAGAAGGGAGTTCAACCACCTCAGAGATGCTTCAGTCAGCACCTGCATCTCCAGGTGTCAGCTCTCCCTCCTGGGTTTGATGGGTTGGTTTTCCATGAGGAAAGATGCCTGAATGCATCTGGGGGATTACAGCATCTCCCAAGCTCTCTCAACTCTTTCAGTTCAAAAGTACAGAAGCAGCAACTCCTTCACAAAGTCTGGTCTGCAACCAGGAGAGTGAAGCGGGCACAAAATCCCAAGTAAAGTATGTGCAGGCATGTATGGACGAGAAAGAAAAATCACCACACTGTGGGGCATCGCCTAGCCTGGTTTGGAGAGCAACATTCTTGCCTCTTTTATCCCACCCTGCATAGAGGTGAGCTGTAAAACCCAGCACCAGGTGAGGGGGCTTTAGAAACTCCCAGGATTTAAGATCCATTGCCACCCTGTGTTTCTAAGACACCGCGTGGTGCAGCTCTGTGCTCCCACTGCAGGAGAAATTCCGCTGCTGGCACTGACCAAAGGTTCCTCTGGACAAATAAAGATGTCCCATATGTAAACACACCCAAACCTCATTCATCTTGCAGACAGAATTGAGCAACGAGACTTGCCTGCACTAACCCTTGGACACACTGGAGGAACTGGAAGGCAAGCAGAGCCAAATTCCCACAGGGACCTCAGAGACCTCCCTGTGTGAGCCTCACCTGAGCACCAACACCTGCAGTGCAGGGTCCTCCCTGCTGTGTCACTGCCCCAGGTCACCCAGTCCCATCCAACACCACCCCAGCAGTGCAGAGGGCAGCTGCTCTGCAGCAGGGCACGGGGCTGTGCCTGGCAGGAAGGGAAAGCCCAGCCCTGTCACCCTGATAAGTTCTAAAAAATTCCTTTGCCTGGATTTCTTCTCCTGGGAAGCTGAGAAGCCTCAGAGAAAAATGAAAACAATAACTATCTGATTGCTTCTCCTGTGTTTGGCTGCTTTGGAATGTAGTCTGGAGATTGCTTATCCAACAAGTGGTTGTTGGACTGGTTTCATGTGAATTGTTTTTACTTAATAACCAATCACAGCCAGCTGTACTGGGACTGGCAAAGAGAGAGTCATGCGTTTTCATTATCATTCTTGTTAACCTTCTGTCTGTACCCTTTCTGTATTCTTTAGTATAGTTTAATAAAATAATAAATTAGCCTTCTGAGAGCATGGAGCCAGATTCCCTCATCTCTCCCCTCGCCAGGGCTGTCTCAGGCTGACCCAGCCCCACTCACGCTGGCACTCGTTGGCGCTGTCGGCGGTGGCAGGCTTCCAGGGGAACTGGTTGTAGCCAGGGCAGCAGCGGTCACAGGAGCCACCACAGGTGTTGTGCTGGCAGTCACACTGCAGCCTGTGGGGACAGGAAAGGGCACAGACAAGGTTGGGGTGATTATAGGGATATGACCCTGCTGTGTGACCGTGTTGTGCATCGCTGTCACTGATCTGGTACACGAACAAGTGGTATTTGCTAATCCAAACATTCTAGAAAATGGGCTTCTAAGGCTTTTCCCCCAACTTTTTAATTGATTTATTTGTTTTTTCTGAGCCAAACGTTGCTATTCCAGCTGCATTCTCTCCCTTTCTTCTCCTTCACCATCATTCTTTTTCTTCACAGGGACACAAGGATAAGAGAAAAATCTGCCTCTGTCTAGCCAGCTCTGCAGAGAATAAAATGTGAAATGGTTGGAGGCGGCAGTGGTAGAAACTGAGCTGAAGCTGATTATTTGAGAGAGTGCAGCGTGGTGCAGGGACACAAAGATGTCCCCACCACTGTGCAGGGGCAGCAAGAAAGGAAAAAATGACAGCCCAGAGCTTGGAGAGGGATGGGGATATACAGGGGCTGTCTGCTCCTCCAGGCACACCTGTGCTGCAGGGAAAGGGCATGAAATTTGAATTAAAAATTTCAGTAGATGATGGCCCCACACTCCCTGTGTGCTGCATTCCTGCTTTCCAAGCAGGGCTGTGCTGGGCAAAGGAATCTCGACAGGCACCCGATGGATCTCGTCCCTGCCCCACCACAAGGGTGATTCATTAACGTCAGTGACATCAGCCCCAAAGCCTCCACTTAGCACAGGGCCATTCCCATCCAACACAAATGCTTTCTGTTGTGTTAGACTTATGGCTAATACAGCATGTTCCAGCTTTTATCTGTGCAATTACTCATTTCCCCTCAGGGCCAGTCTGCCACTCCCATCTCTCCCTCCCTCCTATGCTTTTCCATTCAAAAGCAGTGTGTTTAAAAATAAATGTAATTCTTTTAAAACGCTAGAAACAAAAGGAGCAGTCATTCAGGGTGAAGTGTAGGAGTGCAGACACTCTGCAGCGAGCTGAGTGCCACAGCTTCCACCTACATGTAATTCTAAGATGTGGGACCTGAAAGTCTGTGTATACTGAATTGCCAGACAGAGGCAGCAGCACAAATGACCTTATTTTAATGAAAATAATGGGATGATCTGAAGGTTTGGGGGAAAGCAAGCAGGATCCACACTCAGCATGTTTGCTTCAGGCAGAGGGGTTCTCAACCCTTCCCTTGCAGATGCCATGGGACACTTGGCTGCAGTCAGTTCTCCAGCACTCACCATGCCCCATCCCTGCCCACATTCACAGGCTGGGCTGTAGCTGGCAGAGTCCAGGCATGAAACTGAACCTCTGGCTGGAGCTTAAGTGGCAGAAAACAGCCCTGAAACATCCATTAGGAACTTTGTTCTTCACGTGTTTTGCACACCCAAGGGGGAGTCTCAATGAGAGGCAAACCTTGGCTTTGTCCCCGGAATGCAACCACCCACAGACCTCTCACCTGGCTGACCAGCACTCAGCACTTCCAAGGAAACAAAATTTTATTGTTTTTTCCACAGCAGCAGCTGGAGATCAAGATTAAGATCCATACACATGTGTGTGGAGAAAGATGGTCACTGAGTCAGGGAACTTATAAACCTGCAGAGCAGTGTTAATATCCATGACTGGAGGACGTGGCTCCAGCCACACACCCCGGGCTCCTTAAGGCTCAAGATGTTTGAAAAGAACTGGTTCAGTTCCCAGAATGCAAGAAGATGGCACTGCATGAGTAAAGCTGCTCATTTCAGAGGGAGAAGGAGGTATTTATTTAGTCTCTGCTGTCCAGAGTTAGCAATGACCTCTCAGAGAGCTCAGCTATTGCAGCTTCACTGCACCTTGTGCCGAGTCTGTGCTGCTAATGAATTACAGACCAATGTGCATAAACCACAATATTTACATGTTTCATTGACTGAGTATATACAAGGGAGAAGAGGGAGCGGCTGTGTGCACACAGCACATATTTCCTGGTCATTCTCTGTAAGAAATGAAACCGCAGTCCTCCCGCTGGAGTTGATGCTCAACAGCAGAGACTAAACAGTTTCCAGTGAGCAGCTGTGGCAGAACTGAGAGCAGCACAAACACCACAGCATCAGGATTTGGCTGGGACATCTGAGCACAATCAAGGAAAAAAAAGCCCCTTCCTCTGTTTCTGACTGTACTGAGAAAAAACCACCTGCAAAAAGAGACTGATGGATGGCACAAATCTGCTGGCACACATGGTGCTTTGCCTTCCAAATGGGAAAGGGGAAGCTGGAGTTCAGGGTGCAGCAGTGGGAAAGCATCTTTCATCTGTGGATGTGCTTCTGACCAGCAGCTGCTGCTGCCTTGGTGGTTACCTTCAGCAGCAGGCACAGCAGGAGCAGCTGGACTCTGTGTGTCTCCTCTCCTGCTCGTGGCATCTGTGACAGGGCAGTGAAGCCACAGGAACAGCTGCTCTTACCAGGCAGATGCAGAACCCTTGCAGGGCTCTCCTGAGCTCACTCAGTCTGTCAGCACACAGCTCCTGTCTGGGCTCTCCAAGGCAGATCCCTGATGATTCTGATCTCACTGCTCCAAGGGTTTGCCAGGAGAAAGGGTTGTGCCTCATCCTGCTGGTGCTCACCTTTAAGCAGGAGAACATTCCTTCCCTCTGCTTCACTCAGCCCATTGCAACACAGGGCGAAGAGAGAAAGCTGTGAGAAGTGCAGGGAGCCTTGAGGAGGCTGTACCTGCCCACAGGTCCCTGCAAACACAGGGCCCAGATGTGCTGCCAGCTCAACAGCTGGATGTGCAGCCTCTGTAGCCTGACGCTTCACACAAACTCTCCAAAGTTGCACGACTGCTATCACTGATGGCCAGAAGTCAGCTCATGGACATGCTTCATCACGTCCTGAAGCCTTTGCCAAGACTTCTAGCTCACCTCACCTATCAAAGTGCTCATCCTGCCTTTCTGAGCAACAGGCACAAGAAACATGGGGATGTGCAGAAGAGAAAAGTTAAAATGAACATCAGAGAGCTCCCCCCAGGCTGAGATTGTGGGATTTTAAACAGGACCAGGCCAATCCACATCCCTTTATCTGCATTTCCTTGCCCAGCTGCTGTCACAATCAGACTCTGAAGAGGCAGGACATGTGCAGGGACACACCACACAGACTGCTGAAGACAGGATGGATTCCTGGCAGCTGGGCCTGTGTCTCAAGGGGTCAGTGTGTCTCACCCCAGCTGATGTGGCACTACAGACATCCCCAGGCTGGCTCTGTGCTGTGCCAGGGCAGGAGGGCTGGGATCCCAACCAGCAGTGCCCACTCCAATGGGAGGGCTGGACACAGCTGCTCCCACAGCCTGGAAATGGAGGCATTTCATCAATTACTCATTTTCTCAACTGAAAGGATCAGATTTCTGCTGACTTGCCTGTGCTCCTGGGCTTGCTAAAGGGTACAGCAATGCCATGAGAAGATCTATTTATCCAGCACTTTTTCCTGCTGTATCCCAAAGGACTTACAGCTGTTGTGTTCTGACTGTACAAAGCACACAAGTAGGAAATGTTTTCTCCCTCAGGCCAGCGTGATCTGCTCTGGGTGAAATGCAACAGCTGCTTACCAACATGTGCTGCAACATCAGACAACAGCCTGGGGCCAAGAGTGAAGATGCCAAATGCATCCAAATGAGAATGGAGGAGAGCAATTTTGGGAGACAGAGATGGTTGCAAGCAAAAGTTGCACTGAACGAGGATATCCAACGTATCTCTCCTTGTTCAACCTTCCCTCCCTTCTTGGAGAGCCCCAAGCCACTGATACACCCAAGAAAGGTTCTGGCATTTCCATGTTAAAGAATCATTGTCCTCATGAAGCCTTTTGCCCCAGCACACAGGTGCACTTTGCATCCAGCAACATCAATGTCTAAAAAACAAGAACTGTACATTCAAATATTTATGAACTTCCTTTTGTCAGAGTTTGGCACACTCAGGCAGGCTTGCTTAGGAAATACCTCTTTGTTTTAATACTTAACAGCTTTAACCTTGGCTGGGACTCACTGGAATTTTATTTTAGATGATCCAAAAGTTCTACATGATCCTGATGAGAAAGAAATACAAGCTCCCCTCATCCAGCTGAATCTACCCAGCCCTTTCATAAAGGCAACATTCAAGCTGCAAACAGATGGCTAAAAGCAACACTTCCATGGGCTGAAGCAGCTCTTTGGCATTCCAAGTTGCCAAGGCAGATGGGAAGTTCCATTAGCCAAAATGAAACTTCTTTACACACTCTTGTTCTTTTGCAAAGAGTTGTTCAGATATGTACATAACCAATCTACGGTTCTTATGAGCAGAAATGGGAAGCAGTCTCTGGTTTCATGGGAGACCATCTATTTATGAGAGCATTGTGCCAGTGCTTAAGAAGCCACATGGGAAGCAGGAGACTCCTCTGCACAAGTTCAGAAATGGAACTTTCTGAATTCCTGAATGGAATTCAGGACTTTGATGGAAAATCTCCCAGTTCTACATCAGTATCCCTCCATCAGTATCCTCCCACTCTGCTCCAGTGGGATGGCAAAGTTGTGGACAGGGAAAACTCAACCAGGGAGCTGATCTGACTGAAAAACAGTCTGACAAAAGGTGGTGTTTTTCTACTTTGTCTGGAGCAGTTTCTGCTGCTTTCTCGAGGCAGAGCCACGAGCAGCAGTTATGGCACCATCACAAGCTCAGAACAGGACACAACTAACTCTGTTATCATCTTTCATTCACAGAACAGCAGTTCAAATGCTTTCCTTTTCAAATGCTTCTGAGATTTGTACCTGTAAGGGTCGTTGGGATCTTTGGCATCGCAGACGTCGGCGTGGCCGTGGCACACGCAGCGCCCTCCAATGCTGATATCCTTGATGCTGTAGTAATACTGCAAAGCACAGGAAAAGTTGGCCATTACTATTTTTACAAACCAGATTCATAACCATTCTAGTCAAGATTCAGCAGAACTTTGCCGAGTAAAATGATGTGCTGGGATATTTCCCTTACAGTGACATTGCAGGCTGTGGTATGATCACCACCTCCAACAGAGCCTGTTAGCTATAAGTGGGAGCTCCCAGCACAGCCAGAAAGCCACATGTGACACCAAGAGGTGTTTCCCAGTTCCACATTGTTGGTGTCTTCTCCATCTCCAGCCACAGCAGCACCTGCTGCAGATGCCTTCAGCTTTAGGGGGTGCAAGACTGAGAAATTCCCCACAGGGTGTTCCCTCCCAGAGCTGGCTTGCACAGCCCTCCAACAGCTCCACCTCCCCAGCAGGAGCACCAAGTCTTGCCTTACCCTCCTGGTGACCGTGGGGTCCCTCAGAGCCTTGCCCATCAGGTGGCCCAGCAGAGTGTTGGTCTGCAGGAAGCGCAGGCGGATGTTGGTGGCTTTGGTGAAGTTCCGCAGCAGAGGGGAGTAGGAGAAGTTCATGGCTCCTGGGCGCCCGTTCACCAGGGACACAACAATCTGTGCATGGAGGAGGGAAAAGGCCACGTTGGACTTCCACTGCTCTAGAGGAAGCTAGAGCACTATTGTGTGAATGTGTGAGAACAAATCTGTACAACCCTGTGGGGTGGGAGGAGATCAATTGAAACAGGGTCTCCTTGAGTCAGGTCTCTTGGAGATCTGGAGATCCTCAAGACCTTGGAGATCTATTTCACAACCAAGATAGCTCAGCTACCTTAGGTATAAAATCAGCAGGATGGCTTTTGTGGTAGTGTTGGAAACAAAAAGATCTTAATAAAAGGCAAAATAACAAAACTCTTTACAGAGAAAAACTGAACCAGATGCAAGACCTTCTTGCTCCTAGTAAAACACCTCACAAAAGCCATTAGTTTCTTTGTTCTCTTCTTTTTCTAGTAAATTGCTCAGGTGAGAGTTTCTGGCCTCTGTCCAATCAGCTACCCTTAAGTTTGAGAAGTCGTCCCCCAAGTCCTACAAGGTGTCTTTTTTGCTAATTGAGGAAAGAAACTTCTGGCCTTAGATAGTTCTGTCACAAGATAGTTTTGTCACTCCATCAACAAGGAGCACATCCCTACAACCAAGCTCTCCGTCAATCCCATCTGGTCGAACTGAACACTTAAAAGTGGTATCCAAAAATGGAGTTAACAGGAGTACCAACAGCCCCTGAGTAACCCTGGACACTCCAGGGGATGGAAACAGGCACATTTCCAGGCTCACCTCCCCATTCTCCAAAGGCACAATCCTGGAGTACTCCGTGGTGCAGATGGCGTGGTCATCCCTGGTGATACGGTCCACAGTGTGCTGGCCAAACTTCTCAATGCAGTCCCTCTTGGAAGCTGTTCATCAACCAAGATGAGAGCAGTAAGAGAAAAGGAACAATTCCCAGCCTTCTCTGGATTTTCCCACGCTGAGCACAGGAGAGATGGGTGTACAATCTCTGTTAAGCATTTACCATACAGAGATTGCTTTGTGGCATTAACTCTGTCATGGCTCCATGTCCTCCACTAGGGGAGGGTGTCACTCTAACAGGCAGTAAACTCCCCAAATCACCTCCCTGCAGTAAATGAGGAAGGTCAGAACAGCCACTGTACCTACTGCCAGCATCTGCAGAGAAAGCCACCTCTCAATTTTGGCATTAAGCTCACAGTGAACCAGCCTGAGATCTTGCTCTGCTCTCAATCTGCTGCCTTGCTGGCAGTGGATTTGCTACACTGCTTCCACTTTGCTGCCAGGGTGTGGGAACTGCACCATCATTTCACGTGGCTCCTAAACCTCCCGGGTCAGTCCTGAAGGCATCACAGAACCCACAACAGGAGCAGCCACAGTCATTGCTGGGACACCTGCCCCCAGGCAGGGTGGACAAGCAAACATCCTGCAAGCCAGTGCTCTGCCTTTCCCAAATACTGCAGGTCCCTCCTCACACCTCACTCTGAACTCTGCTCTTAAACCACTGCCACAAAGCAGAAATGCCAAAGCCACCCAGCAGCACTCCTTGGGGACAGCAAACCAGGGCTCCTGCCACTGAGTGGCAATGCAAGGCTGGATAAAGCCAGGGAGCTGGCATCACCAGGCAGCCACTCTGCTGGCTTGGTGACCTGCTCTGGGGACACTGAATGCCAAGGCTCTCCTTGCAGCTACAGGAATGTCCTGGCTCCCCAGCATGACTGCTCCTGCAAGTCCAGCACCCCTGTCCCCAGATGTGTGACATCCCTGTGCTGGCAGAGCCAACCAAACCTCTGCTGGAGCAGCTCATGTGCAGGGTGGTGAGCACCTGCATCTACCCATCCAAAAACCTACACAGTGCCACTCTCAGGGACTGTTCCCTCAGGAAGAGCCTGGACCGAGGCTGCTGCTCCTTCCCACTCCCTTTTCACCTCTGCCAGGAGCTCACAGCAGAGTGTGCTGAAGTGAATGTCACTGCAGTGCTCCAGAGGGTGCCTTCCATGGGGAGAAAAAGGAAGAAAAGGCAGCCAACACAATCTCCTGCTCCTGCCAGAGCTGCTCAGCTTACACAGGAAACTGAAGAGGAAATGTTAACACAATCCATGGGAATAAGCCTCCAAAATCATAGGAATAATCCCCCAATTCATGGGAATAATCCCCCAAAATCTATCTCAGTGTGCCTGCAGAAGGCAGGTCCCCCACTCCATGGGTAGGCTGAGCCAGGCAGAAGGAACAGCAGAGGTGGAGCAGGGGATTTCTGCCTCCCTGCCTTCACCTCTGGCATGCACCCATCCACACCCTGTCTCCAGAAAGTGGCCTTGCTCTGGGAAACACTGTTTTGTCAACAGCAAGAGCTCAGTTGCATCCACAGGAAGATGTGGAAATATTTAACATCAGGTCTCTGGCCGAGGTTTGCTTCGCCAGGTGCTTTTTTAAAGGCGATTTATTTTTAAAGCCCCAGGCAAGGAACCTGTCACCACTGGCTCCAGATGATTGATTTCCAGAGCACTGCCACGGCTGCATGCAGACAGGATGCTCAGCCCAGGGAGCTACTCAGGAAAACCAAAGAACTCCTCCAGTTATTGCAAAATCTGCACAACCACATGAGCCAGAATCTGGGCATTCTGAGCTAAAACAGAGCAATCCAATGGCCTCAAACTCTAGCAGTGCTTTAAGGAACCAGACAAGGAGAGAACCTCACCAAGCAGTCATTTCTCTCTCCTCACATAGAACTAAACCCAAAAGCAGCCTGGCACCCCCTGTGATGGGCAGCTTGAGGGGCAGTGCCAGTGCCATCCCTGGCAAGGCTCATTGCCTGCTCTGAAGAAACTCTGCATTTCTGCCAGCTGCTTTTAACCCTGGTACTGACCTGGCAGTGTTTTTATTAGACCACCTACAGAACTCCCCATGATAAAAATAAACCTCTGCAGAGGACTTCTTGTGCTTGCAAATCTGGCAGGTTTTGGAGCAGCACCTCTTTATTTCCATGAGAATTTTCCACTGGGCTGTACCACTGCATCTCCCTTCTCCAGGGAGGAGTGACAGGGAGGGAAGGGGACTCCAGGTGTTGCAGCACTGCCACTACACACAGGAACACACCAGTGCAGCTCCAGACCATGCAGGAACACGAGTGTAATGGGCCCCAGGAGAGGCTTCAGAGTTGGCAGAGAAATCCTCAGAGATGACAGAAAAAAGCAAAGCAAGAATTTGACAGCAGTGACAGCAGTAATTCCCCACTAGCACACAGCAGAGAGAAAAACATCCACCCCAGACAGCAGCTACCATACTAAGGCAACACAGGGTAATACGTCTGCAGCTCCCTCTTGCACAAGGAGAGGCCAGAAATCCAAAGCACAGCCTGACAGGTAAGCCAGAAATATGAGCCTTTAGGGACAGCCCAGGGCAAGGCCTCTGAGTGCTCCCAAGTCCTTTCCTGCCAGGTTTTAAGCTCTGGCTGTAGATCTTAACTCACATCTTCTCCCAATTACTGCTGCTGCTTCTGGGAGGAGCTGCTGGTTAACAAGTTCCTCGCATCCGGCTACCCCACAGACCCTCTGGGAGAAGAGTTTTGTAGAACCAGCTGTTTCTTAAGGTTTTAATCAGAGAATTGGGAAGCCAAATGCACAGGCTGGATCTCCCTTCCAGCCAGCTGTCTCTGATCCCACCTTGCACAGCAGCTCCCTGCCCTGCACAGGCTGGATCCAATCTCCGGTACTGATAAGCACAGGGGGATGTTTGCTGCATCCAGACTTTTCTGTGATAGCAGCCACTTGGAACTGAGCTGCTGCTTGGCTTCTGGAGGAGCTGAAACACAGCCTGGGATGGTACAGGGAAGAGACTGAAAGAGGAGGGCAGGGAGGAGATAAGAAATCTCACCTTCAGACCTAGAGCAACAACACCCAACTGCAGACACCAGTGCCAACTTTGGCACTCCCTTTATGTCATGACAGTATTTTTAAAAATACATTTATTTTTAAATGCATTTATTAAAAATACCAGACAGTAAAATAGCTCTCTTTTCCTGAGGAGCATTCAATCTTCAACTCTTGCAGCCTTACTGAGCAGATCAAACAGAAGACATGCACTGCATCACAGCAATGACACAGCTCCAAACCCAACCCTGTATTTGCACAGAGTTATCTTCAGCACAGCCCCACTCCCTGGCACTGAGCTGCAGCCCCCTGTCATACTCACAGGCAAAATACTGCCAGGGCTCATAGGTGAGGCCAAAATCAGTCGATCTCTCCAGCACCCAGAGGTCAGGACGAGGGGAGTTGGCAAACTTGATCAGGACATATGCTACGTGGAAGAGCTGAAAGAAAGAACACAGGGTTAGCCAGCTGCTTGAGGCATCCTGAAAAGCAGAGAGAACTCCTTGGGATCCAAGTGGAATAAATGAGCTGGCACTTTGCAGCTCCTGCTGCTCACAGGCAGCCTGTGGAGCGAAATCCTCCGTATCTAAAGGGATGGTGATAGAACACGGCTGCTGCAGAGCCAGATTAGGGAGCTCAGCTCCCCCTGAAAGCAAACACAGCTCAGACTTTGTGGCTACAGCCTGAGCTCAGGTTGTGCCTGAGCAGGCTGCACTACAAGCCAGCTACAATGCTGCCCTGGGGGCTTGGATTTGGGATCTTTGTGGGGTAACAGGTGACACAGTGCCCTGCCAGCCAGGGAACACACAACTGTACCTTGCAGACAGCACCACAAAATCCTTCTTTTTGTTTTTTTAAGGTATTCCACATACCAGCCTTGCTTCACCAACACAACCTGTGTTTGGAAGCCTGTTCCAGAAAAAGCCCAGCACAGCTCCTCTCCCCCAGGTGCCACAGGGAGGGGAGAGCAGGAGACACACTTGGCTCCAGCACAGCTCCAACACGGGGCTGCTCCCATTCGTCTGGACACTGACATGTGCACACACACTCCTGCCAAGGATAAAACAAACCCAGTCTTTAAAGAGCTCCAATGTCAGTGCTAGAGAGAAACAAAAGCCCCAGCAGAATTTCCCTTCCCCGGCTGGCACGGGCTCGCTCCAAGAATCCCCACTCCATCATCCTGTCACAAAGCGATATTTAAAGGCAAATAAAGTTCTCTTATCAGAGGAAATTCCTAATGTCAAAAACAACCCAAAAGGGAGTTTAGTGCTTGAAAGGCAGAGATTTATAGCCCAGGAGTCCCTCCTGATGCAGAGCTGGGGCTGTATGAGCATATACCCCCCTGGAGAGTGACAAGCATCCAGAGGGACATTTCTGCAAGAGGAGGAGGAGGACGGCTCCGTGCCCATCTCAGCCATGCAGGAGCCAGAACAGCAGCCAGCACACCCCAGCCCTGCCCTGGCCACACACATCACCAAGCCAGAGGACACTCATTAATAATAACATGCCTCCAAAACAGCCCTGACAAGCCACAGATTGGGCAAGAACTGAAGAAACAAGAAATAGGTATTTAAATTTACCAAGCCATCTATAAAGCACAGATCTTGCTGGGGTCAGTCAGACAAGGGGTCTGCTGGTGTGCAGATATGGAGCAAGGGGATGTGGGCAGCCCTGAGGACTGGCACCAGCTCAGTTCCTCCCTCAGCAGGACATTCAGGCAAAAACCTCCTCAGGAGACCCCCAAATGCTCCTCTGGCTCTGGGGCATCCTCTCCCCCACTCACCAGGGGGATTGGGGTGGTTCCCACTGCAGGCACATGGGAACACACCTGTGTGCAGGCTAAGGGGGCTTGGGGGGGATGCTCAGGGAGGAGTGAGCCAGATCCAGCTGGGAAACCCACATGAGGATAAAACACAGGGGGTCAGAGGCTGCTCTCCAGCTGGGAATGGGCAGGAGGGTGGGACTGTCACCCCTCTCAGGGTTTGCACTGCTAAGGACTGGTGCCATCCAGAATAAAGAAACCAAAGCAGTCACCCAACTCAGTTCTCTGCTGCCAAAAGACTTTCAAGCTCAGCCAAGGGGAAACAGGCATCCTTTTCAAAGAACTGAGGGAAAACAGACCTCAGTGCTGCCCTGGTTCCCCTCTGCAACATACGTGCTGTCAAGGCACACAAGACCCGGCTTTTTTGAGGAGCAGCTTTTTCTGCCTGTGAGCTGGTATTTGATAGGGAACCCCAAGAGGCTTCAGCCCAGGCAGCTGCTTTCTCTGCAGGACCAGTTCTCACAGCCCAACATCTGCCTCTTGGCATGGGAACAGGGCTGAACACCAACCAGCCTGTGAAGTGACACCTTCCCTCTGCTCTAAACTCCCTCCAGCTTTATTCCACAGGGAATAAATGAATGCTCCTGCTGGAATCTAGCACTACCTGCAGCTGCACAAAATTCCCTGTGGCTCAAAAATACCTGTGCATGTTCTGGCCTCAGGCACAGGGGGTTCTCTGCTCTGAATGAACAGAAGCCACAAACACAAATTCAGAAATGTGAGGTGCATCCCCCTCTTCTGCCTTTCTTTTTGCAAAGCAAATAATGAATTGACTGCCAGTAAATCCCATGGAATTTCTAGGGGGTTCTCTTTGTTCTTCAGTTTTATCTCCAGCACTGCTGTTACTGCTGCTGAATTTTATTCCAGTTGTGACCACAGTCTTGGGACACAAATAAAGCAGCCAGCCCTGCAGAACCACTCCCCTTCCAGCATGGAAGGGTCATTCCTAATGGAGCACAGAAAATATTCAGGAGTCTGTGATCACAGTGACCCCAAACCTGGAGCAAGACCCTTGTCCTGGTATTCTGGGGGATTTTTGTCCAGTCTGGTGAGTCCCCTGCCCCTCCATCCAACTTCCTTATCTTGCAGATGATCACAGCCTGGCCAGAAAAAATAACAGCAAATTGCACGTTTCCAGTGCATCTGCTGAGAAAACTCAGATGCAGAGATGGAGCAGTGGCTCTAAAAATAGAGCTGGCAGAAAAGCCAGACTTTTCATTCCATGTTTAGTTCCAGTACAGTTCTGCCCAACCAATATTGCAAGAGAAATGGTTGGGGTTTTTTTTCCTAAGCCTTTATTTAGCTCCTATTATCAGTCAGATGAATAAAAACCTCTATGCTCCCAGCCACTTCAGACATTTTCTTCCCTTCTTCATGGAGGAAAGAGGTGAAATACCAGCCTTGATGCTCACACTTGTCTCAGGCCCCTTATTTTCCCTACCTCTGAAAACATGCCAGGTACAGCTCAACCTTTGACCAGCCTCTGGAATTCCATAAAACAACCTTCCAGCCAGGAAATTCTGACACTGCTTTAATTAGCAACCAGATTTCTTTGAAAATAGTAACATCTCCACATGGAGCTGATGTTGCTGTTAGTGGTTTTGAAGCAAGTTTCTTTAGTAACAATCTCTTGCAGCCGCCCCAGTGCTTGGAAGGATGGAGGTGAGGGCATTTCCTCTGTGTCCCACACTCCATCCATTTGTGCCTTTAGATGGTGGGCAGCTTTATCCAGCACCAAAATAGCATTAAAATATAATAAATACCATTAAAATATAATAAAGACCGTTAAAATATAATCCTGATTACTGCCCAGTGTGACAGTGCAAAGACTTAAGGAGCAAAAACAGATTCTCCAGAGAGTCAAAAGAAACTCAGCTGCTTTTGGAGCAGCACCTTCTCTGCCCATTTGCTCATCCATTCTTCTGTGTAAGCAGCAAATAATGGAAAACTCTCACATTTCTTCTCTATTCCTTCCCTCAAGACACTGATTTCACTTTTCCAGCTCTGGGAGGTCCACGTGGGAAGAAGAAAGCTGGCTGGACCAGGTTTGTATCCTGTGTTGCTTTGGTGAGGGAGTTCTGGGGAAGTCTCACTGATACTCCAAGGCACCACAAAGCCACACAGAAACATTCAAAAACCAAAATAAATCTTCACATTGCTGTAACACTGACAACTACATTTCCACCAGCAGCAAGAGGGGCTGTTTTTGGTTGTGGGATTAGAAGGTCTGAGGCTGTGCTGGCTGGGAGGCAGACCCAGCTCTGCTCCCAGCCCCTGCACGAGGAGTTCACACAGCAAACCACTTGCTAATTTTCCACAGGACGGATTTATTACCTTTGGCATTGACTTATGAAAGCAGCACCGTGTAAAAACAAAGCAGTTCATCTCTCCTGACCACTGCTCCAGCCCCCTGTGGGGTGTGTGTGTGTGCAGAGCATCATCAGCACTGCTCATCCCTGCTGGGCATTTCCCTCCAGGGAAGGAAGGACCTGCTGAGCCATGCCAGGCTATGGGCAACAACAACTCCCACTGTTATGGGGCACATGCAAACCTGCAAGCAGGGAAAGCAGAGAAAGAACTGCTATGGAAAGTGTGGGGAAGCGTTAACTTGATTTCCCCCTCTTTCAAAACTCAAACTATTTTACTCCTTCTCAAGCCCATCCATCATCCCCCCAGGCACTGCCTGGTCCATCCCTGCAGCCACAAGCCCACCTGGGAAACGTGGAGATGTCAGAGCCTGGATGGGGTTATCAATCCAAAGGGAAAAGCAGCTCTCAGGGAGCACAGGTCACCTCTGCCCACAGCCATGGACCAGCCCTGGAAATGCTCAGCAGTGCTGGCACCACATCACTGGCAGCAGCTACAGCTCATAAGGTGCCTTTCTGTGCACCTTTTATCCCCACAAACAAATATGCAGGAGGTGGAAAAGCCCTGGAAAGGCAGAGAGCTTCTATCTCACTTTGAATTTCTCTAGGTCAGTGACCTGCCCCTTCTGCATCCTTTGCCTGTAATCATTTATTCTCATGGAAGCAGTGAATTTACTCATTAACAACTTGACTGTCCCCCTGCTGAGCCTCTGCAGTCCTACAGCAGATTTATTTCTCCCCAGCCCATCCATCAAAACGCTTTAATAAAATCTCTCACATTCAGTGTGTGCCTGCTTTTTATTTTCAATCACACAAGAACTGCTTCAACCCTTCCAGGCAGCAAACAAAGGTGCTTCCCCTTCAAGTGGGCACAGCTCTTTATCCAGTCATTTTTCTATAAAAAACTCAAGTGCCTGAGAGCAAACAAACCCCACACATAAAAGCATAAAAGTCTCTGTTTGAAAGAGGGGTGTGCACTGAAATATGCTTTGCCCCCATTTTGCTCTTTTCCTCACAGCAGCTCCCGGCTTGTTCTTTTATGTCCGTGTCTCAAATCCTCACTCCTAAAAGTTATGTTTCTCCAAGTTATTCATGGAGGATTACAAAGTTCTGAATAAGAAGGTTCCCTATACTTGTATCTCAATATTTTGACAGCCAGGCTTTAGAAACCATCCCATCCCTTTCACCACAGGGGAAGGACAGAGGTGTAAAGTGGCAGCTATTAAACACCTCAGCAGGGCAGGGGAGAGAG